ACTGTTTCGTTTTAATATTATAGATTAAAGCTGAAGATTCAGAATAAGTTGGCTTTTAATGGATTAGAAACACTTATTCCATATTACCCTGGGAAGATTAGAATTATAATGTTAACCTCTTATGCATAAAACCGTTTACTCTATGAATGAACAGGATTAAAGTAGTTTTCTTTCTCTTTGTTTTAAGTACACTACAAAACTGTAAGTCTTAAAAAGTAAACAAATAAAAAAGAATGGAGGAATGTTATCCCATAAGACCCATGTTAAATTTTCAAAAGTTTGTACTCATATTATGGCGAAAATAGATTTTTCCTGGCTATACCACTGGCCTAGAACTTATTTTTTGATACAGAACTTAGTTATATCTTTATATCGTAAGTATAAACGTGTTTATATGTGCCAATTCCCAGATCGAAGTAACAAGTATTTAAACTTTACTCATATTATTATATTATTACTCAGCAAGATCTTCCCACTGAGCACCAACTGCGGCTGTCTTCTTCATCGACCTCCTCTAATTGTCCTCCAAGACTCCAACAATTGCAATCCTCATCATATCCTACTGTTTCACAACTACCACAACATCCATCTACTTCAATATATCCTTCATACCTTAAACAGATCCAGCCTTTAGAACTCCTTCATCAGTCATTATCCTCCAAAAGCCTGGCACACCATCCCACCGTAACGTCCACTCCGAATAGTACTGATTTCTACCAAGCACCTCAGCAACCTGAATGTACATTACTCACACAGTCCTCTCCAATTGATCATTCCATCCAAACACCCCACTCATCCAAAATACCCAACCAAGCCTCTTCCCCTAGTGAAGTGCATGAAAAAATGCAAAGTGTTGATTTGAGTGGTTATCCTAATATGAGCAGGGTTTTTTTTAGATTGATGCAAGTCAATGTTCAATGTTTAAGAAACAAAGAGTTGTACCTTGAATCTGTTAGTGAAAAAAATAATATTAATTTAATTTGTGTTTCTGAGCACTGGCAAGAACAAATTGATTTATATGTACCGAAAAATTTTATACTAATGTAATTTGTAGAGCTTCAAAAAATAATGGGGGGGGGGGGGTTTTGATTTATGTCAGGGATGGTATAAAATTCTCCATTATAGATGTATCTCAGTTTTACTCTGAAGTTGACTTTGAGCTTTGTTGTATTAAGTTAATAGATGAAAATATATTAACCTTAAGTATTTACAGATCTCCAAATGGGGACATCAATACATTTTTTGAACAGTTTGAAGAGGCAATCAGAAAGATATTAAAAAATAGATCCAAAATAATAGTGGCAGGTGATTTTAATATTGAAATGGCCAGGCCATCTGATAATGATTTAAAGTTTGTAAAATTCAGCAATAAACTCAGATCTCTTAATCTTTTTATCACAAATTTTCAGCCTACTAGAGGTAATGCCTGTATCGATAATGTTATTGTTAACTTTAATGAAAACCTATATCGTGTGGAGTGTGATGAAAACTGTTTTGCAGATCACACTCCACTCTTATTTGAAATGGTTACATCAAATACAAGTAAAAATAGCCTTGATTACAAAGCCTCAAGTGTATTTATCAGGAAGCAAAATGACCAAAATTTAAACTCATTTATTTCTTATTTAAGAGAGGAAAGGTGGGAAACGATAGATGATTATAAACATAACAAAATTAGTGTTGAACTTTTGTTTGATAGTTTTTTTTTTAAAGATATGTAAATTTATGGCACAATTGTTCCCCATTGGTCAAAGTAACGGACAGGCAATTTAAAAATACTAAAAATAATAAGCTTATAAAATGGTATACTCCTGAGCTTGGAATAATTTTAAGAATGATATGCTTAAGTACTTTACTGTCTATAAAAACCTAAGATCTACAGGTTCCGAGCTAACTCAGGCAGCTTATAATGTTTATATGAACCATAAAAAATTCTATAGAAATAAAATGACTCTTGCCAAAAAGGACGCGGTTGAGCACTTCATCAGTAATGCTTCCAACCCATGTCGTGCTGCCTGGGCGGTAATTAAAGATGAGCATTCACCAACTCATAGTCAAGATGCCATACTTGACCCAGATGAAATTAATTCATATTTTTTAGATTCAATAAAAGAATTAAGTAAAGTAATACCACAAAGCCCTTACAAAGCAGAAGATTTTTTACGGAACAACTCAACAAATAGAACATTTTCTTGGTCAGAGGTCTCATCGTCGGATATAATTAAAGCTGTTGCAAAATTAACAAATTCTAAATCAATGGATTATTATTGGATTTCTAATAATATTTTGAAAAAGACTATAGGTTTGATTAGCTATCCTCTAGCTTTTGTATTAAATACCTGTATGAGGGAGGGATATTTTTCTCCATCCCTCAAAATATCTAAAGTAATCCCAATATTCAAAAAAGGTGATAAAAACCTGGTTCAAAACTATCAGCCTATTTCAATTGTTCCTATTTTATCCAAAATATTTGAAGCAGTAATGTATAATCAATTAAATAATTACTTTGAAACAAATAACCTATTGTCCAACTCCCAATTCGGCTTTCGTCGAGGTAAATCCACAACCTCAGCAATTCTCACTTTAGTTGACCATTCTCTTGAAGCTTTAGAAAGGAAAGAATCTGTGTCATTAGTTTTATGTGATTTAAGTAAAGCTTTTGACACGGTACCTTTTGATATCTTAACTAACAAACTACGTTTTTATGGCATCGCTAATGATACCATGCTTCTAATTTCTTCGTATTTATGTAATAGACTTCAATTTGTATCGATTAAAAATAAATGTTCTAAAACTGAGAAAGTTAAAACCAGTGTTCCTCAGGGCTCTGTACTAGAGCCCTTTTTCTTTAACATCTACATTAATGATCTCCCTATAAATATAAATACACAATCTGTTATGTATGCGGATGATACAACTTTACTCGCTAACCATTCTAATTTAACAACCCTGCGCTTAATTAGTCAAGAGGCTGAACTGAGAGCATATGATTGGTTTTCTGCAAACAGACTATCTTGTAATTCTGACAAATCACAATATATTACAATCAGTCTCAAAACAGAGTTAAAATTTGAATCAGTTAAACTATTAGGATTTAATTTGGATTCAAAATTAAATTGGTCATCACACATACACAATCTGTTTGTAACAAAATTTCAAGAGTGAGGTGCTTGCTATGGAAACTTAAGGATTTTGTTAGTCAATAATATTTAAGATTGACATATTTTGGACTCTTTCAATCACACTTACTATATGGTCTTATTTTGTGGGGCTACTCTCCACATATTAATGACATCCTTATACTCCAAAAAAAGGCGGTTCGAAGCATTGCTTGAGAATGCTCAGCTACACACTGTAAACCTCTTTTCATTAATTTCAGGATACCAACCATAGTAAATCTTTATATATTCCAAATTCTAATATATACAAAGTCAAACTTAGATCAATTCTCTTTCAGAAAAGACGTACACAACCACTATACAAGAGGTAGGGATAAAATAGATATATTGCAGCACAGATTGGCTAAAACCAAACATTCACATAAGTTAAATTGTATAAAATTTTTTAATAAGCTGCCTGAAGAAGCAAAATCAGTTTCTTACAATATTTTAAAAAATAAACTGTATGACTGGATTGTTAAAAATCCCTTTTACAAGATTGATGATTATTTAAGTTGTGAAATAAATATTAGATTTTGAAGAGTAAATTGAAATAAAGCTTTTATTTTCATGTACGTGGCTATTTAAATTTAGATATATCTATATAATTAATACGCTACATGAAACTTTGTCGGTTAAACTCCTCCTCCATTTCTTGACTGATTTTATCCATTGACGTCTCATTGGAAAGAGCGAGTCGCGTAGATTTGCAAACTGGCCTTACATTTTTGAAAAAGTCGCTTGGGCTCTGCCCCAGTGGCTGTTGAAGTTTCCATGTTATCCTTATGAAGAACATAATTGTTTACATTTTGATCATTTGTATAATTTAATTGATGTTATTTATTTTTCAAATCAATTAAACACATTGGGTACATTTACTGATTTTGTTGAAATTTAATATTTACTATTTTAATTTATAAAGCTTTTGAAAAATTATAACATATTTACAAGAAATGTTGATTATATGGAACTGTTAGGTACGTAATCTATGAGTCTATTAAACTCATCGGAAATTATGATGATTATTATTTGGTTTTAGATAACTACTTTACTTATTTGCAATTGCTCGATATCGAGCAACGTGTACACTAGTTGTACTTTAAACACTGAATCACCTTGTAATTATTTATAACAAATTTCTTTTTTAAAGATCAATGGAAATAAATATTTCTTATTCTTATTCTTATTATATATAGGATATGACAGATACGGGATTTTTGTACGTAATATTTTTTAAAGCGTATATAATTTGTCAAATGGGTGTAATAAAATGCTATTAAATTAGCATGATTTTATGAAGTCTAATTCGTGAGATGTAAGCATTAGTTTTGAAAGTGTCCCCATGCTACTTTCCTCCCTCCCCCATTCTGTGCACCTGTTGGGACAGGGACAAGATTTCCAAGATGCACCAAACAATAATCACAAGTCAAACTATGGTACACTTTCAGTGCATACTCAACACCCTTTACATGATAGACTGTATTATGTGTTCTCTGTAGTCTTGGATTTGTGTAGTTTGAAATCGAATTGCTAGTTCTTGTAGTATTTAGATTACAAATCAGGTAATTTTATGCTCTAGGCCTAGGTTAGACCAGCCTATAGGTACCTATTGGGAGTTTTCTCCTTTTTAAATAAATCCCATAAAACTATCAATTGTTGGACCAGTCATTTTGCAAATTACCTATGTTTTAACCGTTTATAAATTTGTAAAATTATTTTAAGGAGTCACTGATAGTTTCAAATTAAGGCCAACATTTTGTGTATCTAACACTGGCCTCAAATAAGATATCATAATCTCAGACCAAGGGATTTTGGTGAAAACATACACTTTTGTTGTTCTAGGAACTAAAGAAGAACTAAATGATGTTATTGAACTAAAAGGAGAAATAGACGATGCATTGTTTAAGTATGGTCGCATGGCATTCACCTCTGCTGATGATGTATCTACTGACTCCGAACTTGAGGAAGTACCAGATTTGTCTGATCCCAAACCTAAAACCACATCATCCAACAGTTGTGGTTCTACGGAATGGAGCATTTTCTTTGATAACCGACCAATGGTATAATCATTGATGAAAAACCTTATTAAATATGCTGGCAAATTTCAATTGGAAATTTCAATTCTGATTGGATGTTTGATTAAATGTACATGTATATAAATAAAAATTAGGTTTAACAGGTACCCAGGTTTGCTTTTACAGGGAGGGTAATATAGTGTGTTTTTTTAGTAAAATATCAATAACTTAGTATAAAATAAACTAATTTTCCAAGTTTGATCATGATAAATCAATAAACAAGCAAACTAAAACAGTTTACTTATGCATAAAGGTCCATTTCCTATCCTGCGACTGTTACGAGCCGCGCGGCTGAAAAAATTGACTGCTTTAATGCAAAGTAAATGCAACCGTTTCCTATCGAGCGTCTACAGCCGCGCGACTGAAGCGACTTGAGCCGCGTGGCTCGAGCTGTCGCAACTGGACTGCTCCGTGAGCAGTTCAGTCGCTCAGTCGCGTGGCTGTAACGAAATAGTTCATACATACGGAGTTGAGGTGCGAATTGATAGTATACTGAGTTGTTTGATTGTGGGGTTTTTGATAGTTAAATACTGAGTTTCAAGTGTGTGCCTTCAAAATCATGGATGATTCAAGGTTAATTGAACTTGTTCGTCAACACCCATCTGTTTTAACCCCAAACACCCCCAATACAAGGATGCATATGTGCGAGAAAACGTCTGGAGACAGATTTCTAAAGAAACTGATGTACCAAGTAAGTTTAATATTTGTTTATTTAGTTACACTAGCAACTTAGTACATTAGTACAAATTAGTACATACTTAGTACATTAATACATTATCAACTCAGTCAAATAAAGTTATGATAGGATATAGTCAATCAGTTACAACTTGCTATTTCACAACCTTAAAAGTCAGTTTTGTTTACTTGTTTCATTTGCCAGTCTGGTTATCCATTATCACTGTTGAAGTAATTACAAAATGCATCTCTCACATCAAAGCCTTGAACGTTTGCAAAGCCGCCACTAGCACGAAAAGAAATGAGATTTTGTGTTGGTAACGGTTCTGAGTTTGAAACGTCAAAGTAACATTGTCCATTCTCCTCGAGAAAGGCATCCCTTAACATGTTATGGATACAACAGGCAGTCATTACTAAACAGTCAATAGTGGCTGGTTTAACGGCTATTGGTGTATAAAATACACGAAAGACTTGACTCAGCAGAGCGAATGAGTTCTCTGACACCCTCCTTGCTCGAGACAGCCTATAGTTGAACATGGCTTTCTTGTTGTCAGCACGACCCTCGTGCCTGGGAAAAGGTTTCATTAGGTTTACTGATAGTTTGAAAGCTTCGTCTCCCACTACTACACAAACATATGGCAGCAGGTATTCCCCCACTTGTCTAGGTGGAGGATAGAATTCTTCATTTTTAATCAGCTGTCCCAAGTTAGATTTTTCCATGATACCACTGTCACCCTCTCGGCCATATGAGCCAATGTCGACCATTACAAACTTATAGTTAGCATCGACAAAAGCGAGAAACACCACGGAGAAAAAGTCTTTATAGTTAAAAACTGAGAACCACTGTTACTAGGGCAAACAATTCGAATGTGTTTTCCATCTACAGCTAAAATGCAATTAGGAAAATTCCATTTCTGTTCGAATTCCTTGGACATTTTGAGAAGGTCTTGTGAGGTAGCAGCTGGCATGAAAATAGGTGGAAGTCTCTCACTACATAGTTTCAGTACTTTCTGTATAATCCGACATACGTAGCTAGGTGATATTCTGAATGCAAAAGATAATGATTCGTAGCTTTCTCCAGTCGCTAGAAATCTGAAAACAAACAGAAAAAATTGTAATGGTAAAATTATTTTAGGTGAAGAATGCAAACACAGATGGAAGAATACTAGAGACACGTATATGAGACGCAAAAGGGCCAGTAAACTACCCACAGGATCTGCTCGGTCAAGAAAGCTGCGCAAATGGCATCTGGAAGAACATCTCGAGTTCCTAAACTACGTAGATTGTGAAAGAGAGTTAGTAGGCATAATATAAATTAACTAATAAATTATAAAACACAATTGACTGACACTAAAATTCTTGCGTGTGTAAAGAAAAATAAATGTTCTTTACTATATTAAAAATATATCTTCTTTACTTAACTGATCATTCCATCAACCAAAATCACCTCACACCTTTATGTAATACAATTTGGCTATTCCATACAGGTGTGAGTATTATAAAAAGTTGCCCCCTGGTGGGGTTTGAAAATGAAATTTAATTTATTTAATCAGACTACTGAGGACGTTACAATCACAGAGCTGCGCAGTGGAAATAAAGATGTTAAGTGTGGGCCCTGTAATTAAATATCCCAGAAGTCCGATTTATGGACCGTGAGAGGTCTGATATGTCCTCCTGAAAGTACCTTCAATGATCTTAAATATAACACTTCTTAAGATGTAATAAAAAAATACCAATCACTCTGAATGCAAAATACACTTTTTGTTGAAATTCTGTTAAAACATGGCTATGACTCTGTATTACTGAAACGATAATGCCAAACACTGATTGAACCAATATGTAATAAATTATGTATTGATTGACTATTTACTGATATTATACTTTATTGTAATTGTTCGGTTAAGCCGATTACCTTGACAAGATTAACACAGGAGAATTAATAAAATTGTTGAAAGAATAAGCTATGTGTATTGTCACTTCAAATATTACAAATATTACAAATAATCAATATTATATTCAAGTTTCTGCTATAGGCTAATTAATAATATTCAAGTTTCAGCTATAATTAATAATATTCAAGTTCCTGCTAATTACACTTCAATTTAATATGAGAGAGTATTGATTGTGGCCTTTTTGACTTTCTTTCCTGAGATTTGACAGCAGAGCCTCGGGAACCTAGGTTTAATTTATTTAATCTGATTTAGGCTATTAGGCTTCCCAAATTAATGTATTGTCTACAACTGGCCAGTTGATCTTATATGCAAAGGGGCTATTCGTAGTTCAGTGTACAGCACACTTTGTTGCTCAGTGGCAAACTGGACCAAAACGACTACTGAGTCGTTTGTTTAATTTAATTTAATAATGTGACTTTTTTATGGCGTTAATGGAAGCCTACCTTTATAGCCTTTATTGAAACCTAACCTTCAACCGGGACAATGCTCTGATTAAAACCTGAATTTGTACCCAATCAATTACTCTCAGAGATCTCTTTATGTATTTTTGAAATTATTTCAAACCCAAATATTTAAGCAAGAACAAATTGTAACTGTTTTACGTGACAGACAGCTGATATCCTAACGATATAAATTGAAGTTAAGTACAAAATTACAATATGAAATTTAACTGGTATAAAGATTTACCCAAACTATTAATATAATAATACCTATAAATGTATCACAGTATATATTTTAAAATAAGTAAACGACAATGATTTTAAAGCAATGTGACTGAAATTACACACTAGTACATGAAACCTGCAAGAAACATGATTAAACAAAATAAATATGAATGTGGACAGATTGGCTACTCCTAATGATATAAATACAATTTACACAAAACATTTACTTACATACACAGAAGACAATTTTGACGACACATAAACATATAATTACGACACTGTACTTGGGGTATGCTCTACGAAAATGGTCAAATCTGACGAATTTTGCCGGTCGACGTCGAACTTAAAGACTCGTTTACTTAATCAATTCGTATTTTAGCAAATGTTGTTTCACGGTTTAAATATCAATGCACTCCGGAAATCGAACAATTGATTCTTTGACAAAATACACGTTACGACTACCAAAAGCGAGTTTCGCGAATTGAAAAGGAGAATTTAAAGATTTCCGTACATCGCGGCTCAGAGCATAATCCCAAGTGACCGTTAGAAAAAGACGTCCACACAAGTCAGCAAATTGGTGTTCCTCCGCGCTCACGTGATTGGCCGTTGTTGGTCCTTGCCTTCGCGCGTTTTCTGTTTGATTTGAATTTTTCAATCGATCATTCATTTTGAATCGGTACATGATTGGTGGAGGCGCCGGGTTCGAACCTGATGAAGCTATAAAACAAAACAATACTCCAAAACCTGATCAAGTTTGTTTTTTACAACATTTTCCAGAAACGTTCGAATCACTCAGTGATAAGCAGAGGGAGGATGAAACCCTAGGTAAAATCATCACTGATCTGGAGAATGGGATAACTGTACCTTTTTATTGTATAAAAAAGGGCATTCTAAGATTTCAGAGAAACATCAAATGTTCCCCAAAGATTGTGGTACCTAGTTCAATGCGTGTTATGATAATGAAATATTTCCACGACATATCCATTCACTCTCATTGGGGCATAAAAAAGACTACAGCACGCCTAATAAAGCATTTTACATGGGATGGAGTTTTTAACGACGTAAAAAATTACGTACGTTCATGTGAACTATGTCAACTCTCGAAACCAGCCCAGAATTTACAGATAGGTTTGATGAACTCAAAACCACCCCAGAAATGTTTTGAACGACTCCACATCGATATGTTTGGCCCACTAGTAAGATCTGTTTCAGGAAATGCTTATGCTTTCGTATGTATTGATTCATTCTCTAAGTTCAGCTGGGTTATTCCAATGAGAAAAGCAGATTCCAAGACAATAATCAGTGCATTAAAGGATAAGATTTTTTCACAACACGGGTTGCCAGAAACCATTGTATCGGACAATGCATCCATTTTCAAGTCCGAAATGTTTAGGAGTTTTTTATTTGGTTTAGGGGTGAAACACATAACTACCTCAGTGGCTAGGCCTAATTCAAATCAATCCGAGAGATTAAATAGAAATCTCAAAATGATACTCAAAATCTATCATTCTCAAACCCAAAAGAAATGGGACGAAAATATACCTTTCCTTTGTATGGGATTGAACTCTGCGTTACACGAAACAACAGGTGTGACTCCAGCTTATGCATTCCTTGGTAGAGAGTTAAACCATTCACTCAAACTACACTGGGACCTTGGCGATGAATGCTCGACTGAAACAGCCGAGGATAGAGTGAGTAAAATATTAGAACACTCTAAGAAAGCTCATCAAAAGATAAAGGAGAGATACAATAAAAATAGAAAACCGTCTCCATATACTGAAGGTGATCTGATATTATACAAAAAATATACGCCTAGTAACAAAGCAAATAAAATCAGTCATAAGCTAACTCATACTTGGGATGGACCGTATACTGTAATTAAAGTATTAAATCAGGTAAATGTAAAAATCCGTCTGAATCGGGACCCATCCATTGCGAAAGTAGTTCATGTATGTCAGATAAAAAAGTACTATTCGAGAGATTAGGAAAAAAAACCATTGTTGTTAATGCCTACGTTTGTTTGAGGGTGTACCGACTCGTTTTTTTTTAAACACAATATTGTTAATTTTAAGACGGTAACACCAAACCATTTTTCCCCAACAGTGTACAGTGTGAAGGGAAATGTCACCCGTCGCTGTGAGTGTTTTGGGAGACTCGCAGGGGGTCAGGCTGGTCAGTGTGGGCGGCGGACAACAATCAACTACACAACAATGGTCGATTGAACACAGTGTTGCTCACGGCGGATGGACTACTCAAGATCTCAAGTGCGCTATCAGAAACCAAGTGTCAGTGCTAAAACCCACATGCATAATTTTCATTGGAATTAATGACATTTTCAAATCCATTGCCCCAGAGAAAACTAAAATCAATATAAAGACAATTATCCGTTTACTGAAATCCCACAACAAAACCATCTACATTACCACTCTCCCTCCCACTTTACATACTCCCCATATTCAACCCAAAATCAAATCCTTAAATATTTTTATCCAGTCTTTAAATAATCCCCCATCCATTCAATCAATAAAATTCCATAAACTATTCCCACCATTTGCACCAATGAATCTATCATTATACAACAAGAAGTATCGAAATGGGAAGCCAGACAACGTACACCTATCAAGTACAGGTTTCAAACAGCTGATGCGCCACATCTCGCTACGAGTCGATGACCTACTTCCCACCCCACCCGCCCCACTCCATCGCCAACAGCTGATCGCCGATAGTGAACCATGCAGGGTTGGTACGGTCAGGGAAAACCTGGAAAACCTGGAAAAGTCAGGGAATTTTGTTGGTCTGGAAAAGTCAGGGAAAAGTCAGGGAATTTTTGAAAAAATCTGGAATTTCTCTTGAAAGACTACATTTTTTACAGATATGCTACATTTTGCATCTATGTCTCTCAATACTTGGTCAAAAACATCAAAGTTTGACGAAAACATCGATGTAACAAAAACATCGTGAACCTACCATCGATATAAAAAACATCGAACATCGACAGACATTCTATCATCACCCTCTGATTACTGGCTTTAATTGAACGCACCGAGCTAGTTAGTACCGTGATGCGCGGAAGGATAGGCCTACATTCATCGTTTCAATTTCAATACGATACTGAATACAATTCCTCATTGAATTTATACCAATACTGATTCAACCTTTAATAAACTAAAAAAAACTGCACTTGTAGGAGTTTATAAAAAAATATTTAGGCCTATCCTGTTAGTTGAAACATTTAATAGTTTAGTTTGGTACTACTTTTTGTCTCCGGTACAAGCATGGTAGTTATTTTTCCAATATCACATGTTTCTTTCGATATAAACCGATGATATCGTAAGCAAAATATCGATATATATCAGTATCAGAAGCACCGTATCGTCTATCTGCCAGTGTCAAGTCAAGGCCATGTAGAACATAAAGTGTGAGGGTAAGTTAGTTGGTACTCTTACTTTTCCAGATTCCAGATGTTTAATTTAGTCTAGTAAAATTATGATTTGACCTGGGCAAAATTGCTTCATAAGCCATTGAAGTGGCGTTCGACTCAACAAATGTTACTTTACAACACATCCAAAATCCGACCATGGGAAAGTGTCTAAAAATAAATTTTAAAATGGCGGCTATTTTTCTTAAGAGCTATTTATTTTAAAACACCAATAGTTGATAAATATGGGATATGGCCTT